GATAGTTAAAGAGTTTAATCAAAGCATGCAAAATTTCCCAAACGATCTGCCTTTTTAGCCACAGCTTGACATAAAACATGAACCAGGTTTCCGTACTTAACAAGAATTGCTATTTTTGTAATAAATAGATTTTTGTTACATGCAAACAAATGTGAACTATCAACGCGTAACTAGTCCCCTCATAAAACTCACACACACAGATAGACTGCGATAAAAAAGTGGAGTTATGGGCGGAGGTGAAAATAATTTGGGAAGGCGCTTCAATAGTCCCTGTCTACAGGGTTTCAGAGATGATCCTTTTGCTTGCCAGGAAGGCTGTTTTTCAATCTCTCTTCTCCAGGTATTTTCCACTTCCTTGCAAGAGGCAAGGACGAGTGGTTTACAAATGATAAAGTCTTTGACTTATCGGTCAAAAACAACAGCTTACAGTAACTGGCAAGGGAAAATAAGCTGGTTTTTGTCAAGCTTCAGGTATTTTCTACTGCAGAGAGATACACCGCCTTCCCTTCCAGAGGTCTGAAGGCTTCTGGTAATATTGTTCACATGCACAAGTTGTTTAGCTTTAGAACCAAAGCATAGTTGATGGCACACAGATGGCCTTTGTCATCCACAGCTGGTCACACCTCCATAAAATTAGTTATTTGCTATGAGTCAAATCTCACCTTGTATACAACAACTGATGCCAGCCCATCAGCAACCAACCTCCCCATTCCTTGAACACAGCGACAGTTTAAAGCACCAGTTACATTGATTTTTGGTAACTTGCTTTTAAAAAAATGCACCAAGCCCTTCCCACTTGAGTTCACAATCAGAAACACAAAAATAGAAAGATACAGTCTTTACAATTGTCACTTTTATTGAGCAAGCCTTTTTTTCTATATTCCTTTTATAAAATTTAGATGCTCAAAACATTGTTGGATCTGAATATCTGTTTTCTGGATTACTGGTCCAAGTTTTTGCACGAAGTAATGGTCTTGAAACAGTTGTGCTGATGGTTGTTATTAATTATATCATAAGGACTTGGGTGGGAAATGCAAAACAGCTCAGGATCTCAAGAAAAGCAGACCTCGGGGGTGGGGCTCTTGCGGCACAGGGATAGTATTCCTACCCCTAGACCAGGAGGCCTGGGTTCAAATCCCACCTGCTCCAGAGGTGTGGAATAACATTTGTGAACAGGTCGATTAGAAAAATAGTTAAATAAAACCATTAAAATAAAAGGCAGACCTGCCACCTAGTTTTCCTCATTGTCTCAGTAACATTAGCGATCTTATTAATGTTTAGCTTGTACCCAATTGCTCTCATGTACTAAAGTACATCTTGTTTAAGCCAAAAGCATCTTCTCATCAGACTACCTAGTGGTTTTCCTCTACCACTTTAGACAATGTGGGTTCTGTAGGTTCAGTTAGAATAAAGGATAGCAGCAGATACCCACTCAACACCTGGTTGGCATCATATATTCATATGACAAAAAGCCCTTTGTATTACAGTACTATTGCAGTAGCAGAACAGCTACACTTTGTCCTTTTTCTCAAGAGCAGGGGAAAGAGAAACTCAAGCATTCATTTTGCTACCACAGGCATTGCAGTTTTAAAACAAAACTAGATCTTAGGAGAACACCATCAGCAAACAAAAAACAAACAGCACTACTGATAAATGCGTGAAAAATGTTAAACCTAATTGACATCGTTTGGACTCTGAACATTTTACCCATCTTTAGTCTATTTCATATTCAGACAGACAATCAATAATAATGCATATGTCAGATGGCATAAACATTTTTCTTGTACACAGTGTAGTTTCTAACTATTCACAGCATACCTTCTGGATCCAACAGTCTTGTCACACCAAGTGCTTCAGCAACAGCAAAGGCTTGCTCCAAATTCTCCTGATTGCTCTGAAGTGCAACTTTCTCCATGTCAATGAGATCTGGCCTGCAAAACCAAGTATCAAATGGACATCAGTGCACTGAAATTAATTACAAAATAACTAATACAAAATAATTAACTTTTGTTGAAAAAATGTGACAAGTCCAATCAAGTAGCAGTTGCATCTGAAACATCAAACTTTTTTTTCTGGGATTGGAAATATTTAAGTGTGTTATTTGAACGATATAGGAACAAAGGAAAAAATGAAGGGAAAAAGTTAAAACTACACTTGGGCAATGGTGACACAGTTTGACTTGGTCTACTTTTACATATTTGATATATAATTGTGGTATCTGTCAGATTATAAAATAGAAAGGGTAAAAGATAAGTTGATGTAACATTTCAGATTCAGCATAAAAGGGGCATTAAACTAAAAAAAATTAATGCAATATTTCCAATTTGTTGAACATGTGCACAGCTGAACAGAAGAGAACAGAGGTGCAGTCAACCATGATTTAACTGAATGGTGGAACAGGCTCAAGTGGCTCAACAACCTATTCCTATCTTTGTTTCATCAGCTTCTTGACAATGCTAATGAAAGTTTAACAAAATCTCTCAAGCTCTTATATTTCCAATTTGTTCATATTATTTCACCTGTACTTATGGATAATGGCATTGAATACTTTTCCATCACTCCAGCTAGAGGTGAAATTGGAGCATTTTAACCCAGAGTAACCTTCCGTCAATTTCTGCGTCCAAAGTAATAGTTTTTCTTTAGCTGACATGTCACCCGATTCTCCACCCACATAGATCTCAGAGATCTGTAAAAGAAAATTAGTGAAACATTTCTATATCCAAATCATATTATTTAAGACCACATGCAGTACCAATTCACTACAAATCTGGTCCACAATTAATGGACATGATTATTCTCATCAATTAAGACCAACTAAATACCAGCCCCATCATTAAATTAATCACTGATAATACCTGTACCATACTGGCACAACGAAAGATTGTTGGAGGTCAATCATTTCAGCTCCTGGAAACCTCTGCAGGAGTTTCTCAGTGTAAATGGCCTAGGCATAGACATTTTTAGCTGCTTCAATGACCTTTTGATCATTGTAAAGGCAGAAGTGGGGATGTTCACTGATCATTGCACAACATTCACCATCATTTGGCTCTTTAGATACTGATGCAGTCCATATTCAAATGCAGCAAGATCTGGACAGCATCCAGATTTCAGCTGCTAAGCACCAAGTAACATTCACAAAGTGGCAAGCAATGACCCAGCTCTAAGATGACAGAAGCTAATGACTGCACCTTGACGTTCAGTGGCAATAGTATCACTGAATTCCCCATTACTAACATCTTGGGGTTACCACTGACCAGAAAACGGAACTGGACTCCCCATACAAGTACTATGACTACAAGAGCAAGCCACAGGTTCAGAATCCTGCAGCGGGTAACTCACCTTCTGACTGCCTAAAGCCTATCCACCATCTACAAGTCACAAGTCAAAACTGTGACAGAATATACTTCACTTCAAGAAGCTCAACACTATCCAGGACAAAAAAGCCAACTTGCTTGGCACACATTCACTCCCACCAATAATGATTTTCAGTAGCAACAGTATGTACCACCTACAAGATGCACTCAGAAACTGACCAAGACTTCTTATAAGGCACCTTTCACATCTACAGCCACTTCCATCTAGGAACACCAGGGCATCAGGAACACCACTACCTGCAAGTTCCCTTCTGAGCCACTTAACATATTGACTTGAAAATATATGATCATTCCTTCAGTATCACTGGATCAAAACCCTGGAACTCCGTCCATAAAATGATATTGAGAGACTACCTACAGCAAGTGAACAGCAGGGATTCAAGGAGGCAGCTCATCACCACCCACTGAAGGGCAATTAGAAATCAACAATAAATGCTGGAGCAGCCAAGGGTGCTAACATCATGAATGAATAAAAAAAACTACCAAATATATTAGTTGTTTCACTGCAGCCTTCTTGAGAACAAAGAGGGCAAACTAATGACTCAATGCAAGTTAGGACATAGGCAGAATTTTGGATGACCTCAAGTTGTTCAGAGCTTACCACACAGGAGACAGTCAGGAATGCAATGGTGTACTTAAGTCTAGAGATGACAATGCATAATTGAGAGGAATAATACAACATGCTAAAACACAAACTCAGTGATGGGATGACTCTTTAGAACTGGGATGAGTAGGAAATTCTTCAGCCAGAGGATGGTGAATCTGTGAAACTCACTGCCACAAATGGCTGTGAATGCTAAGTCATTGAGTGTATTTAAAACAGAAATAAATGGGTTCTTGATTAGTACGCCCATCAAGGGTTACAGAGAGAAGGTAGGAGAATGGATTAAGAAACATATCAGCCATGATCAAATGGTGGAACAGACTCTAAGGGCCAAATGGCCTAATTCTACTATGTCTAATGGTCTTACAGTCAAAGTAATCTACAAGACTAACATTTGCAACAATTCCTTAATCTGCAGTCATTGAATTCATGTCCTGTGAAAAATGTCTAAAGTATATTGACTATTCCAATTGAAGCAACAATTCTGGTGTGTAACTTTCACATGTAATGCATAAGGAGATGGAATAGTAATACTGGAACAAGAAAATAGTTAGCTTGGTGCATAGTAGTTCTGCTCTTTCTTCACGATTATGTTTAAAAAGATCAGATACAACATTATTAAAGTTGCATTTAAAAATACATATACCAAAATTATGCTGCAACTATTTAGCTAGTTTGTCTCAAAAATAAAAGGTCCTTCCATTATTATTACTAGGTTTTCAAAAAAGAACATCTGGGAGGATTTGCGCTCCTCACATAGGGCACTGAATTATTTTGTCATTCCCACAATTTGATGTCATATTCAGCAAACGTATTCAATTTCCTACTTGGGAATCTTAAAATGTTGAATTCAATGAAAAAATGTTCAGTTTTTGTTTTTAGTTTCTGAAACTTCAAAAGTTAATGAGTACTTTTTTGGATGGGTCCTTAAAAAGGATGCAGTTTCTGGAAGTTCCATTAAGTAATGAGGGTGCAATCTAGTACTTGTCATTGCAAACTTCTCTATAATCAGCCCAAATATTATAATCTGGAATATTTTATATCAGTTGCTCAAACTCTTGGGTACATTGATGAAAACAGAGTCAGAGAGGACCAACATCCCAATGCATAACTTCCAATGGATATCCAACTACCTTCACACAGCCACATTTTACTAGTGCCTCAAATTTTATTTCTTCCAGTAGTTATCCACCTTCCTTCACAAATTTGCTATTGAATCTGGTTCCCCAATGTTTTCAGGTAGCACATTCCAGGTCTCATAACTCAGCATGTAAAAATAATTCTCACCTCCCTTGTGGTTCATTTGCCAATTACCTCAAAAGATTTAACCTATATTCTGTTTTGCTTTGTGCCATTATAGTGGGACAAAGGAGTAGGTTATGTAGAACAGTACTGATTGACAGTATGGCCAATATTAGAAACATTAACACATGAAGCTCAAACATTTGGTATAATTTGGCTTTATGATAAACTGCAGCTTTTACATAAGGCAATGTCTCAAGCCAGCTTGTAGGGAAATACTCACGCATAAAAAACAAAGTGGACATCAATTACAAGAAACAACAGTTTGACCGGTCACTAAAATTTGGTCCAAGTGGTAGAGTTTAGGAAGTACCTTAAAGAACAGACTTATTTTTTCTAATCGCTTTGTATGAAATGATTTCTGTTTACCACATTCAACTGTGGACACGTCTAACTTGCCACTTTCTGAAAAACTAAGTTGAGAGGATATGCGGTAGTGATGTCCAGGCAAGCAATTTGAAAGTACATGGCCAAATGAATACAGTATGGAATAAAGCCTGGTTTACGGGCAGTCAACAAGAATGCAATAAACACTGGAGCTAAATGTCACATGTTGCGAATGGGTTAATTGGACTATATCCACTTCAAAATGGAATCAAAGACTTACTGCCCGAGTAATATGACAATTCAGTCAACGCCATTTTGAAAAGTGCCTACTGGATGGGCAACCAAATCATTGAGGCATTTGCTTACTTTCAATAAACAAAACAAGGGCGCAAAACATATTTCCTCAGCCCAGAAAATACTCAATAATCAACACTGTTTCCTATTCCTCAGCTAGCCAATTTTGTATCCACTTTGCCACTGCCAAATAAAAGGCTTGTGAGAAGTCGTAGGTCATGAAACAAGAGAGGCAGTGTTGAACACACTTTGGGAGTTCATATACAACACATCAATAGCCGTCCCCTTTTTAACCCTCTCCGTTAAATCTTCAAAAGAACTTAAAGCTTAACACTAACTTGCCTCAACAAATCCGGGCTCACTGAATAATTGTTTCTAGAAGATTCCCCATTTTCAAAATTAACTTGACTGGTCTGTAATCTCTGGATTGATTTTCAGAGGGTTTTTTGAAAAAGGCGATAATGTTTGCAATTCTCCAACCTTCTGGCATTATTCCAGAATCCAGGGAAGATTGAAAGATATTTACCAATGCCTCTATAATTTCCACTCTCATATCCTTCAATATCCCGGATGCACCTCATCTGGACATGGTACCTTATCAACTTTAAGAACTAAAAGCTTATCCAGTACCTCTTCCTTACAATTTTAAACTTGTCCAATGATTAAGTTTCCTCTTCCGTCACCTTGGTCTGGGCAGTATCTGCCTCATTTGGTAAACTTAGATGCAGAACTTTAATTTAACATCTCAATCATGCCTTTTGCCTCCAAGTGTAAAATTCCCTTTTTGGTTCTTAATGAAAAGTATTACTTTACTTCTCCTTCTACCACCCTTTTATTATTGACATGCTTATAAGAGACTTTGGGATTTCCTTTCATCTTAGCTGTTGAGTGTTTTCAAAATCTTTCTTTGCTTCTATTACCTCCCTCTGAATCTTTGGTATTCAGCTTGATCCTCAACTGCATTTACTACCCAACAAGTGTCATAGGCACAAATTTTCTTCTTTTAACTTAATTTCTATTCCTTCATCATCCAGGAAGCTCTAGGCCTTTTGTCTTGTCTTTCCATTGACGGAATATACCTTGGCTACGCCCAAACCATCTCTTCTTTGAAGCTGTCCATCATTCAGCTTTGTTTTTGTCTGGCCAAACTTTGGTTCCAGCCCCGCTCTGTTCTTGCCCCACTGAAGTCCTCTATCCACGAGCTGATCATTCTGTCTCCTCTTAGTGAGGAAAGTGGGCTGCAGTAGGAAGTTCACAGATCAGATGTACGTGAATTTGGAGGCTCAAAAATCACAATATTCTCTTTGGTCTAAGTATTGGATACATTTAGCATGTTCTTCACAGAAGTCACAATTGGCTCTGCGTGTGCGTGCGCGTGCACAGGGGTTAGTTGCCCTGCCATTTCAATGCATCAGCTCCACTTTGCAAATCAGCTAGCAACTAGAATCAAGATCTATCAGAGCAGATCTTAAATAGAATGTTTTTGATAATTTCGAACTATAAATTAAGATCATGGAGATATTTTACAAACAGGTTTATTTGAAAAGCTGTTTCTAATTAAAAGGAACAGTCACAATATTGTTTGTGGCCTTCAGGGAGTACCTGAAATTTGAGGATGCTTTGCAAATCACTTAATGGAAAACAAAGCAGATCAAAACTATTGAATGTTAAAAAATTCTGGCATTTCAATACTTGAGCCCAACATGCATTTTAAACATTATTGAAACTGTAAAGAATCATTACTATTGCAAGGAGTTATCTTTAATATTAATCTTATATTAACCA